GCATTTCTCTTCCCATAATATTGCATTTGTGTTAGCTAGCTTTTAAGGTTTCTCATGTTTTAATGAAGTTATTACAGTGAATGCTCTGACTGCATAATTCATGAGCATTTTTTCTGTCTTCAAAGAGCTGGTCTCTAAACAATTTTTAATTCTTCTATTCTTTTCTAAGACATCTAACCAAGCCTTTTGAATTTGAATGGAATTTTAAAAATAAATGTAGAAAACTAGCTTTATTTCTTCTGTAGTACTATTTGGTCCCCAGAGATGGCTCTGATTTATAGTATTTGCTTGGCAGATACAAAGAGGTGCTGTGCATTTTCTATTTATAACTCTTAAATATTGAGATTAGCTTTCACACATAATGGACTGGATTATAGGTCTCTTTTTCTTTACAGCCCTATCTGCAGCTTTCTGCAAAAGGAAAAGCACAAAGATCCAGTAACAAACCTCTTCTCCTTCCAGCTCTTCCTAAGCATTTATTTCTCATAAATAGGTACAGTTTAGGGTCTGCTATAATATTTGATACTTGGCAACAGTTTCTAAGGCAATACCTGAGCCCATGCCAACTAGGGCATCCTTCACTGAAAGTCCAGGTCTGATCAGAGGGAGTGGTGAGAGGCAGTGATGTTGAGGAGACAAGGGGAGGGTACATTGCTTGCTCCTGGGATACATTCCTGGAAATCAGATTCACTAAAAGCTGACCATACTAAAATAGAATCATAGAACAGTTTGGGTTGGAAAGGACCTTAAAGATCATCTAGTTGCAATCCCCCTGCCACTGGCAGGGACACCTTCCACTAGACCAGATTGCTCAAAGCCCCATCCAACCTGGCTGGGCTGGATACACACAAGGAGCAAAGCCACATTAGCTTTCAAAGATTTTTAGAAGGAATAAACCATACTGAAATTAATCTCAGAAGGATGATAAGCTATGTTGAGGCTTACACTTATTACAAGCTACTAAGAAATGACATTTTGATACAAAACAATATTCTGTCAGGAGTACATACAGCCACGGAAGTTCTTAAAAGAAAAATGCATGTAAGCCAAAGGGCCTGGGTAGGTAAACACCTGTAAGAGCAGTCTGTTCAGGTACTAGCCCTAGCCTCTTCTTGAGGTTCAGAGGGAAAATGCTTTTCAATGTATTCAGGCAATTTATTTCAACAATTGCATTCGTCAAAATAGGGAAAGCTGCTGGAAGCTGAAATGAAAGCTTTTATTTCATGCTAGGAACAAAAATGAATACAAAATGGAGGGTATAGAACTGCCTGCATAAATGTGTATTAATAGTGGGAATCTTCCTATGTAATAAACAGAAGCACCATATTTATTGCAGAGACTACATTTAGTTGCTAGTCAGATGTGCTGAATTAGTAGTTAAACGAGTGGGGTTTTTTTAGAAAATACGTAAAAACTACAAATACAAACCAGGATTAAAATGAACTTAGATAAAAGTTTCATAGTCATTTAAATCTGTATGTAAAATCACTACCAGTTTGATTTAAATTAATATCTCATAGGGAAGCTGCAGATAATTCCAGCTCTCTTTCTGGAGCAGAAGGGATTGTAAGCCTGAATAAAGTATCATAACTCATAGACAACTCTTGTGAAACAAATGGCATTGCTGAGCTGTGTTGTACTGATAGATCCCTCATCGAGGGATTAATCTGACTATGTCTCTTCCAATTTTTCAGATCATCTAAATGAATTTAAAATAAAAACAAACAAGCAAACAAACAAAAACCAAACACCAAACAGCAGAGTGTCTTGGGGGGTCTAAGTTCCCTTGATTTGCTGTAAGACCTAAGCTTCTAAGTCTTGTAGACATACTTGGTGAAGGGTATCTTAAAAGCCATATAACCCAAATTAACAAATTCAGACAAATAAAAATAATCTCTTTATAGCTTACATTCCTACGTATCACCTGCCAGATATTCAATTCATTAAAAATGCATTTCAATATAATTTAAATAATTAAAATTCCATTTTAAAACATGCATAATTGTTTGCCAGAGGCCCTTGCTCACCAGAAATAACAATTTCCACTTGTTGTGGCGACTTGATGAGCTCAGGCTGAACAGTTCCAGTGTTGGAGACAAAGTTCACTTTAGTCACAGCCTGATGTTGCAATTAAGTTTAAGACCTGGGACTTTGTTGCTCAGTTGGGTGATCTGCTTTTCTTACAAGGAGTATAATGAATTTGATCATTAGTCTACTGTTTTTTATTGTCAGTTTCTGAAGTAATATGTTCTTGGCTTTTGACTGCTAGGAAGATTTATGGAAAGGTTCAAAATGCTGGATATAAAGGCTTTTTTTTGCAACTGTAACCACCAGATTGGATATATATGCTGATTAGCAGGATTGAGTTTTCACCAGTAGAAGCCCTGTAGAAATGCTAGGAAAGATAGTACTCTCAATCTACTTTGATCAATCAATTGCTGTTGATAGGTATTTTTGTAACGGCTTTCTATCAGTACAACATAAATACACATGTTAAAAATCAAGCATGCATTTAAGTCTGAGTGATCACAATTACAAATCTAAGAAATTTCTGAATAGAAGTTTAAAAGACTACTGAGCCACAGTGACTGGTTCTTTATATTGGGACTAAAGATAACAGAAATGCTAAAGCTTTCCACATGACTGAAGTGCAAAGGTACAGCAGATATTTACTAGCAGCACTAATACTCAAGATGTGAAGAGAAGGAGCCAGAAGGAGGCTGCAAGGTTGCCCGCTGCTGTGCTGTGAACGCTTGGCAGCACTTTATCAGACCTCCTGCAGGAGCTGGGGCCTTGCTCCTCTTTTCTGCAAGGCAGATAAACTCCACAGAGAGGCATAAAGGCTGGATGCAAGAGAAAGTAGAGCCCTTTTCAAATGTCTGTGTTTTCCTTTTCCAGCATCTTCTCCAAAATAGGAGAGAACAATGAAAAGACATGTTCTAAACTCAAAACCCAGATACTCTTTGTCTGTTTTTGACAAACTTGTAAGAGTTCTCCCCATCTGTGTTGACTACATAATTTTCACCTCTTGCTAACGGCTTTCCCTTGATGACAGTAAGTGCTGTTGTATCTATAGGTAACATTCAGCTGGAGATCACATTTGATTGTTAATATTTTCCCACCTCCACTGCAACACAAAACTTGTGGTTTTGCAAAACAAAAAGCCAATTTAGTATCTAGAGAAAATAACAAAACTAGCGGGGAAAGCATTCGCTAATCAAGATAAAATCCTGTCACCTTCATTACTACTTAGCAGTACCGTACTTTGAAAGCAGGTATTATTTAGTGTGAATAATGACAACAGAATCTCAGCTTGATTTCAGATGTTATTTCTGCGTAATTTATTCAAAAGATAAATTCCCTAATGAAAGATACTGGATCCACTTTAAACCAATATTATTTAATCTATAATTACTGCCTCAGGAATACCGTACTAACTGCCATTTATCACTGTCAGTGACTTTTGAATTCCTGCTATAACCACGGTATCCTACTGGGTTTGTTTGTCTCAGAGAACATGGTGTTTCTAGTTTGCATGGCCCTAAAAAAGGAGGACAAAACCTGTCATCCCCTAGAAATATATTTAAATGTCCTGTATGTGCTTCAGCATAGAGAAGAGTAAGCCCATTCACTTCCTCATATTTATTTCCAACACAATGCACTGCATTTTCCATCTGAAGTTTGTAGAAGGTTCATTAATACTTTCCTGCCCCTTTCCTTCTTTTCTTATGAGATGAGTATCTATTTTCCTTCACATTTCTTGCAAAACTTGGAAAAGAATACAGATGCTTTGGCTCTCAGAGATACCCTTCTGTCAAAAAAAATCCTACTCTTCTTTACTATTAGAATCTAATATTTAATTAGGAAACAATTAGGAAGTAAATGTGCTTAAGGACATTAATTTACAACTGGTTGAGTATGAGCATTAGGGAAACTATTAGTTATGTGTCCTAATCCAGTGTCCATTTTAGACAAGAAAAAGCTAGACTTGATTTAGGTAATGGCAACATTTGGATGTCTTTTACTTTATGATGTCTATTGCTGTACAGTAGAAGACTTTAAAAGCAAGTAAAATAAAAAAGATAACTGGTTACTGGTAAAAGACTGTCTCCTCTCACTTTGTGAAGGCCCTCCTACTATTGTTCATTGAAAATGGTAAATAAAATCTTCAGGCTCACTACTAGCAGGTTCCCATTTCTTTGTGTATTCTGGGTACAAATTCCAGACACAGAAGAGAATAGAAGCCTACACGGAACACCACCAAGTCCCTAGGACACAGCCCTAATGTCACATGTGCTGACTGCACCATCCTTTAGAGATGGCTACATCATCTCACTCACACTGTGTACAGCCTTACTATGAGGAAAGACTATGAGGACTGTTTGAAGTTACTGAGCATGTTGGAGATATCAACCTCACTGACTACCACAACTGAAAGACTGTCATTTTGATTGCTGGTGTACATGCAAATGCAGAGCACTCCCAACTCTGTGCATGGAAGCAATCACACCTGAGCCCTTCGTATGTAGAGGCAATTATCCTAGCACCTCAACCAGCAGTCAGCACAGTGACCTGTCATGAGATCCTCTATTATGTATCAGTAACATTGCAGGGAAACGCTCATGTTTTGTGAGATTAGACAAACAATAGGAACTGTAGTCAGATTTTTTTTCCTCTTGCTTGAGTAGTCTGTATTTATCTCCAGGCAACAGGAGAGAAGGAGAATACAGAGAGCTTGCACTGTGATCTGAATGTTTAACTCTTCAGACCTTATCTTGGAGATGAATGCACTGTATAATGAAATTCCTTTTCTTTTTTAAGCTACAATGAGTTCCAATATACTCAGTCATGCCTTAACTTTCAGAAAACACAAACTGCATTTTTCAGACCATGAACAAGAGCCCTTACCTTCTCAACCAAGAGATCTCCAATAGCAAATGAGTTTACTTTCTGCCTTTACAAGCCTGCAAAAATCTACAAGCAGATTTTCATGCACATACCCGATAGTCCACCGACATCCATCTTCTTCAGGTTCTTTGCCTCCAGAATGACAACAGTCAGTTTGCCAGCAGTAGGCACATAACGGAGAGAGAAGCAGATATCACCCAGTTTTTCTTGCTGTGAAAGCAAACAAGGCATGGTGTTATATTTTTATAGCTTTCTGGTACCTTTTAAAAATGCAGTTTTGAAAGCTCCACAGAAAATTAACAGGATTACATCTCAAACTCCTACTGTTTAACAAAACATTCAAATGGACAGTATAAGATATCTGCCACAGGTTGCCAGCTTAAATCCTTGATAACTTCAAGTCTGCTGCAGCAACTGGAGTCCACAGCAACTACCCTGTATGGAGGCAAATGATAATACACATGCTGGCTGCAAAGTAACTTATACTGCTCAGCATTTCATCCCTGATAGTCAGAGTCTCACAAATACTGTCTGACTAAACAAAGTCATGACTATTTTTTTTTCCCAGGTTATGTTTCAGCAGAAATCAATTAACACACATGCATAGAGCACTATGGGACAAAACAGTAACGTGTGTGTTTCTCACCACACTTTGTCACAAAAGCAAAAAGTATTAAAAACACAAAGCACAAACCATTCAGTACTTATATAAAAAGACTTGTCTCCTATCTAACAAGGGGAAAATTAAATAAAAGGGCAGACAGACCACGAAAGAACATAGTGCATCCCTCCTCATACCAGGCATGGTTGGAAGGATTTGGTATTGCCTTCAGCCTTGCAGCCTATCATCTAGGGTCCTGCCAAATGCAACCTTTCGCTATCATTTCTTAGTACCTTCCTAACAGACCTGGCAAAGAAGGAAAGGCTGAATCATGTTCAGAATTACAGGAACTTTGTTTTAAAAGGAGGAAAATAGATCTGAACTTGCAGACACAAAAGAGAGACTAAGAGGAGAATATTGCTTAGAAATGATCACTAGGATGATCCAAGCTGCTTTTCTCCTTCCTTTCAGGTACAATGGTACCTCTAGGGGAGTAACAAGGTTGCTTTCGAGACAACAATCAGGTTACACTGAAGAGTCCAATAAAGCATTTCAGACAGCAATGTTTCCTTTTCAAAGACAGTAGTTCTGGCATATGTCTCTTTCCACAATTTATCCTGGCAGTAAAGTACATTTCTGTGAAGACGTATCTCTTTGGTTCTGGTGTTTTCTTAGAATTAACTGGAAGGTTAGTTGTCAAAATGTTTTGGGGCTGCATCCGAGCTTTTTGTTAAGACACTAGGTAATTTTTTGCAGGAATTATACATGTTTATCCCATTCCACAAATTCAAGAAGAATATGGCAATTTACCAGCTTCAAAGAGCGTATAGGCAAGAGGCAAAGTCAGAACCTTACCTAAAAAGCTGAGGGAGCACTCCTGAGGGCAACTGGCTCACATATTCATGGATGTAGTGGGTATTTCCTAGAGAAAAGACAACCCATGTCCTAAGGACTTTACCATGTGTGTAAAAGGAACCCAAATATTCCCTTCCTACTGGGAGCTCAAGCTTCCAAGTCATTTAAGAGAAACTTATCATCCACTAAGCCAAGTTTTCAGCATCGGAGGCAGCCATCTCAATTGCTTTTACACACAATCACTTTTTATCTAGGTTTGAATAAGCATCTGCAGTATTCCCATTTGAAGGATACATGTGAGATACTCAGCTATACTTAAGAGTTTACATCTTCCTCCTTTATCAAAAGGTGTGTGAGCTTGTCTCAGGAGACCTCCTTGGGGATGCGGGATTCTTTATTGTTCCCAACAGTGGACTGGAGCAGTACATAATGCGAATGGCATCATGAAGTTACCTTTCCTTTTGGTTTTTAAAAACTTAGAAACTGCAATAATAATGCAAAACCTATAAAGTGCCAGACTCTGAATTGATCATTACGAGCTGGGAACGAGACCCAGGCATTGTAATGAATGTTTTGCAGAGAACTATAAGTTCAGTGATCACCAGTGGTCAGGAAACATATAGAACACACATAGTTAGGAAATGCTCAGCGAGGACACAACAAAATAGCTCATGGTGTTAAATGTGTGTATCACATATAAAAATACTGTCAGAATGCACATGTGACACTTATCTTGAAAACTTACAAGGTGTCCTTCCCACCTCAAAAAGGGTATGGTAGAATTGGGAAAGATTCCAAGAAAAGCATCAGGAATGATCAATGATATGACACAGCTTCTGTAGAAGGAACAGCTAAGAGGATTAGGACTCCACAGGCAACAAAGGGGGTAGTTGGGAAGCAGTATCTTAGAGATCTCTATCTGACCCAGAAGGGCTATAAAAACAGATCCTAACATCAGAAAATTTACATTTTTAACTTGTTTCTAACAGAAGATGTCTTTCACAGCATGGACTGCACTGTTGTGGAAGGACTTACTATTCTTCCCTGTCTGCATATACTGTTATTATAAACCCCAGTGTAGATTCAGATCACAGAAATAATGGATTTCAGCTGTGCAATGTGCATAGCTCATGCTTGGATCTAACTGAGCCTGCAACAGCACGGTGACAGCAAAACATGCTCCTGTTCCCCCGACATTTGGATTTGGAAGTCTGTATTGGCCAGGCTAACGGTGAAGTTGATCTATCACTTGCAGCTTCTTCAGAATGGAAGAAATCAATTGCTTATCGATTTGTGTCATCATGATCACAGCTCACCCAGCCGCCTGGTGTTCTCCATAGACACTGTTATATTACTTGGTATTCTTGGTTTAAAATAGCCTGGTTGATTCATGGGGCTCTGAATCAACCCTGGTTGATTCATGGGGCTCTGAACAAGATCGAAATAGGGTATATTTGAAGGCTTGTTTTAGTACTCCATCTTAGAGACATTTGAGACATTTGTACTCACGTATCACCTGATATTTAAGGGCTCTGCACTCACCTCTAAATTCACTAGACAGAGCTTTGGTTGTAGCAGCGCAGGAACTTCTATTCTCTTGTATTTCTCAGAGATGTACCTCACTGACAGAATATCTAAACATCTATTTTTGAAGGTACTTTTAAATCAATACCACACTTCTAATTGTTCCTTTGAGTGGATTTTTTTTTTAGTTTTCTTTTTTCTTTTTTTTAACTTGTGCTAAGACTAAAGTATGTTTAGTAAGCATAAAATGGTGCTAGGACTGTTGTTTCTGCTCCGAGTGCTTCAGCAGAGGCTGGAGGAGGTTCTTTACAAACACAGTTATGCCACAAAGACTATCACCTCTCCCCAGCCTTTCTCCATCTGTAATCATGTTATGCTTCTGTGCAAATACTGCAATTGTCTACACAGAAGAGTAATTTTATGAGAGCATTTAATGCATTTTAGGCTCTTTTAATGCCATTTTAGCTGCAGGAAGCTTGGAGAAGAAGCCAGCATTGTGTAAACAGCCAGTTTTCCATAGATCACCAGCAAGCCATGGGAAATGGGAGCAGATGATGGGCTCATTCCAGTGCGTAACTTGAAGAAAAAGCTGGAGTGCCTCTTTAAATGCCTACAGAATCACATTTAGTACTTTTTTGTTGCTATTAAAATCTGTATTAACTGCATTTCTTCAATATTTCTTGTACTTTTAACATTTTCTCTTTGCATGACTGCCAAAGTTTTCTATTTCTAAGTTGTTTTTTTTTTTTTTTAAACATATGTCAGGCAAAATACTGCAAGTGGCAGCACTGAAACAAGGCAACAAAAAGCAATCACTAAAGGTGTGGTTTGCAGCAGATAATTACAAACCCCTGCAGGGCTACAAGGTACAGATGACTGCTTTTGGTGTGGTGATTATCTCACAGAGGTGCCTTATTGTTATTATTAATTTCTTTCAGCCCTATGTATAAATAATTTATGTTAGTAATTTACTTTGATTTTTAATGGAAACTGTAGGTTAGTGTTAGAAACTTCCAACTGGGAGGTTCACAGACATTAACTTGTTCATGTATAATGCCTAAACACCAATCAAAGGAGTCTCTCCATCTAAGCAACTTCATAACTTCACCACATTTTAAGATGACACAATGGAGCAGAACATAAATGACACAGCGCTACTAGCATTTACTCAGCTTCGAAAAGGCTATTTGAAGTCCTGTTGAGAACCTGGACTTATTAGAGGTGACTCTAAGTGGCTCCTGCTTGTCTCTCATTTCTTCTTGTATTTGTCAGTAGTCATTTTTGCCTTGACAGTATACTCTCCTAATGAGCTTCAGAGAAAATGCTATTTATGCAGGTTACTCTCATTCACACTGCAGAATCTTTAACAGAGATATCTATCTTCTTAATATATACATTCTCCACATTTTTGTGGAACATATGAGAAAGTTGATCCTTGCAGCTGTCTTGGTAAAACGATACCAAAATAATGAGCCACAGAACTTTATGCTTTTCCTAATAGGACCTAGGGCTCCAAAATAGTTAGTAGAGGAAGAATATAAACACAGAAAGGTGGGTTTCCAACTTCAGTACCTGGCTTTGATTGTGGATATTTGTATAAGCCTGAGAGATAGACAACAGGATGTGGTTTATGGGCGAAGACCCAAAATACAATCTTCCACCAATCAATATTTACAATGGAAACTCATAATGTTCATTGTTTAGTTTTTGCACCAACCAATGTTCTAAAACTCTGCAGAGAGAACTGCAACCGCATAAAGGTGGGTTATAAAGCTAAATTAGGAGTCTTTCAGGAAACCCACATAAAATTTAATGACAGAATCTCCAGTCCCAATTCTCACATCCATGGGCTTCAGACATTTCTGAGGCCATTGTATTCTGTCTACACACAGAGATCTCAAATCCAACAAATTCATTTTCTAGGCACACAAACTATAAACACATTAATCCACAAAGGTATCACAATAGCAACAGTAACAGAATCACATGGATGCAGAAATGGATGACATACACTGGCCACAACTTCAATTAATCCCCCACAGCAAATGTGCAGAATTAGCAAACCATACACATAGCTGG